GACATGTTGGTGATGGGTGTGTTGGTGTGTGAGCAAGTGAGTGAGCTTAGTATAACGACGAATCAAACAATATTTTAGTTATGTCACAGCGTGTCAGCTTCATATGGGAGGAAAGCCCCAAGCGTTGCAGGTCTTTTATGTTTAACACTTTGATGCAAAACCCTTTGCATAACAATAAGACATCTCTGCTAAAAGTCTTTTACACGATCCTATACCCACGAAAACGCATATGGTGAAAACAAACCTAGAAACATAATCAGGGCTAACCGGGACTCGAACGCATTATCATCGGTTTCTGGAACGTCTAAGGGACGCAACTCTGCACAACGAAATACAGTGCCTCAGAAGACTAAGCCACCCGTAACTCTTGCACCCAGAACAATTGCATTAGCATTTTGCTTACAATATAGTTTACACATTTTTGCGGGCGGTCGGGTAGCCTAGTGGTTAAAGCGTTCGCTCGTCACGCCGAAGACCCGGGTTCGATTCCCGACATGGGTACAGTGTGTGAAGCCCATTCCTGGTGTCCCCCGCCGTGATATTGCTGGAATATTGCTAAAAGTGGCGTAAAAACAAACTCACTCACTCACTCACTCATTACACATTTTTGCATCGATTTGTATCAATAAATGGTTGGACGATATCTAAGGGAAAAAAACATTGTTCGAATTGTGACACACTCAAGCATTGTTTGATCGATTACAGGTAAACTGTAAAGGGAGATACATCGTATTATTTGAATACCCTTGACACAATTTGGTATGGATATGCAAACCTCGGTGAACAAATTAAACGATTTCCTGATCTGTGCTTCCGTTCGAAAGTGTAAACTCCTTGCACATCAACATGGAAAAACTCCAAATACAAAAGTGTGGTAAATATATGATACAAGCATGGACAGTCTGAACCGAGAAGAGATAACCATATACACACATGGTCAGTCTGAACCGATAAAAGATAACCATATACACACATGGACAGTCTGAACCGAGAAAAGATAACCATATACAGACATGGACAGTCTGAACCGATTACAGATAACCATATACACACATTGACACTCTGAACCAAGTATAAATAACCATATACCAACATCGACAATCGAAACCGTGTATAACTAACTATATACACATACGGACAGTTGGAACCGAGTATATTTAGATAACCATATACACACATGGACAATCGGAACCGTGTATAACTAACTACATACACATACGGACAGTTGGAACCGAGTATACTTAGATAACCATACACACACATGGACAGTGTGAACCGATTACAGATAACCATATACACACATCGACATTCGGAACCGAATATAGGAAACCATATACACACATGGACAGTCTGAACCGAGTATAAATAACCATATACACACATCGACAATCGGAACCGTGTATAACTAATAACTATATACACATACGGACAGTCTGAACCGAGTATACTTAGATAGCCATTTACACACATAGACAGTCGGAACCGTGTATACCTAACTACGATCGACAGTCTGAACCGAGTATAGATAACCATATTCACACATGGACAGTCGGAACCGAGTATAGATAACCATATACACACATGGACAGTCTCAACCAAGTATAGATAACCATGTACACACATGGACAGTCTGAACCGAGTATAGATAACCATATACACATATGGACAGTCTGAACCGAGTATAGATAACCATATACACACATAGACAGTCGGAACCGTGTATAACTGACTATACACACACATGGACAGTCTGAACCGAGTATAGATAACCATATACACACATGACACAGAATCTGAACCAGTCATACATCCAGTCTGAACCGAGTAGATATAATCTTAAAAGTATAAGAACGTTGCCATAGAACCAAGCACATATAACCATACACAATCGACAGACACTGAGAGAATATCTTACATTATAAAATAATGGATAGAATATATGTCTCCGTATGATCTTATAGTACAGATATTACAAAGTATGTAAACGTGAGACGGCAGGGAATAAGTACCTATGGTATGGAGTGTGTGTTTGAGTTGAGCACACAGCTACCAGTGCACGGTTCAAGCCTGCGTCATAGAGATTTATATACAAGAACCGCAATCACACGAGAGGCGCCAGCAGGGACCAACAGTAATCTACATACCGTGTGTGCATACACACTGACGACATTCTGCTTCAACGTCTACAACAACCGTTCAACAAACACCTGGTGTCATCACTGTAACCGATGATTCTTCGGTATAGATCATTCTTAAAGAACAAATATGGTGAAAACGGGTCGCTAAAACTGACAATGAGCATATCCGTGATCCATGATGAAGTTTTTACAAAGCGTTTGTATCATCTGTAAAATTCAGATTGATTCAAAGATTTGGTCGTGTTCAAATATTAATGAGATGCTTACTAAAAATAACTAACCATGACACTATTTATTCTTCCATGTTCAGCACTGAACGCATAGACATTTTTGGAAATGTATTATTGTTCAAGGTGTAGACATTAAGTGTTTCAAGGTGTAGACATTAAGTGTTTCAAGGTGTATACATTAAGTGTTTCAAGGTGTAGACATTAAGTGTTTCAAGGTGTCGACATTAAGTGTTTCAAGGTGTCGACATTAAGTGTTTCAAGGTGTAGACATTAAGTGTTTCAAGGTTTATACATTAAGTGTTTCAAGGTGTAGACATTAAGTGTTTCAAGGTTACGGTCAATATGTAAAATCAGTCAATGTGTAAAATGACTGAAATCTTCACTTAGGCAATGTACAAACTGCCAAAAGAGACCTTGTATTATGTATCATGTATTGTACCCTGTCCTTTGTATCTTCATTTAGTTCAGAAATACAAATGGGTTTTCACTTGCCTTTTCATGTATTTGCGACGGGTGCCACTTAAGGGGGAGGGTACGTTTAGCTTTTCTGGAACACCTATATCCTCACTATATGATAATGATTCATAAACACATGCTTAGTCGCATCGACACTGCCTTTAGTGAAGGTTTTTATGAAAATGGAAATGATTGTGTCGCTTTTATTTAGTTTGGATAGAAACGCAAATGCCGTATATAGCCGTAAGCCTCGAAGATCTTTTACATAGAAATACCTAGCTACTACATAGTATATTTTGCAATGATATTCAGTACAACATTGCTGCGTTTTCGTTTCTGTAACCGTGAGAGGCGACCTCCAAAATCTTGAGTGTGGTTTTGTGGAGATCCGTACGACTATACATGTATTTCCTTACTTTAACATCTGAACGAAATGCTATATTGCACATGTATATTCACGGTTTCGACAAATGTGGATTTTTTAAAAAGTCATTATCTGCTGTGGTATCGTACTGTTTCCTGGAGTGTTTATCTTAATCTTTTACATTGCGGTGGTTGAAAGGCTTCCCCGGGATAATTTTTCTGTCGTTGTTGTTCGATCACAACAACCTGTATTCCTAGCACGCCTTCGAACAGCATAAATCCTTTATTTGCCTGGAAGCGATTTCGTTCGATGACAAACGAAGAAAATGGACATCATAAAAAATACATAAAAAAACATACGTTGGGTAGGGCCTTAAGCAAAATGAATCGTGAACAAAACGAACGTTTAGATGCACTGTATTTAAACTGAATGAAACAACACATTGTGAAGTGGAAACGACACCTCTTTTACCATGCAGTCCGCAAGCACACCGCTTGGCGCTGCTTCTGTACTTGTATTGAAAGGCCAACAAGAACTATTTGTCGAACGGAGGTAACCTCTCCGTCATATTTGATTCAATAACATTGCAATATCCACAGCGTAAGCCCCGCAAGATGGAGTTGAAGACCGGCGAATGTATAGAGTATTTGTGAGAATACATGAGGTGTGTTGAAGCAGGTAAAGGAAACATTGCACAGATCACATTCTAACAGATCTAAACGTATTGAGTGTTTACATATAACATATAGATAGGCTATTCGCTATGAAAAACGAAAGAAACTCTATGTTTCATATTGCTTACACATTTTATTGGTCATAATTTTTCTTTATGGGTAAACAACGCCAGTTGACGCAAAATATGTGGTATCCATTTTCTCAATATAAGCCCTTCATCTGATCAAATATTTGTTTGCCTGTCGTCACATGATTCCTCTGTTTGTGAGGTGAAATCACCGATATACAATGATCCATAAGTAAGTTGGTATGGGTGATGATATCGACGATGACGTCGATCGGCTTAATGAAGGTTGAAACAACTAAACATTTAACCTGCAGGATCTACACCTACAACATACATTCTTGTGGGTTGAGACGTGAGATAGATCAATACTACTGGACATACAGGGCGGTCAACTCTTCCATCTAGAGTGACCGCTGGCAGAGTGTCAAGGTCACCTGGCTGACCATGTTTAATATCCCTTTTAGGACCAAAGCCAAGGGATGCCACTGTTAACATTGTGGACATTAACACGGATGAAATGTTGAAATGTGTCAAAGATAGAGTTGACCGTACACAATAAAAAAACGAATGTGATTATTTGCATGATTTATATGAATAAACGCATTTACAACATGTTAGGTAATCATTTTAAATTTGCGTCAACAGAGGTACAATTCCCAATGGATGGTGGGAAACCTAGCACGTGTTTATAAAAGGCCATCGTAAAGCATGTTTTTATCCTTATGTGAGTGGGTGAGCTGGATTTTAACGCCGCTTTGAACAGCATGCCGTTCCATTACTTTGATGAGCTTAGTTAATGTGTAAGGATACCCAATGGGATGCAGGATCAAACACATTTACAACTTTAGTTTAACCAACGAACATGGGTATGATTCTGACAAACCAAGGCTCACAGTCAGGGCCAATCTGGGATTGTAATCCCCAATCACCGGATGCTGGCTTGCCTAAGGGAAGCAACTCCGTACAGCGGATAGCGGACTATTCCACCGTACTCCGCTTGGAAATGATTTCCTCTAATTAACTGATCAGATAAAACATGTAAAGTAAAATGATACTTTTTATTCCGGATATAAATATGCCAAACCCATAGATAAATCAGGGTAGACACCGTTAACATTCTCTTCATGATCATATATGCAAGTAGCTTGATAAAGATCATTCATAAAGATTGTTCATACAGACGCAAATCAAGAAAATATTCAATCTATAAAACAATTTTGTTGCTGTAAACGCCTGACTCAGCCATATTCCAGGTATATGACAGAGGTTTGTATGTAATTGAGTGTGGATTAGACATCCAGTGATTGATTCCGTGAGTCTGTGAGGGTCGACGCAGTCGGTGTACGATGACAGGCAATCAACAAACTCATGACCACCCGATCCTATTACGACCAGCATGGGTAGAATTCCGGGTTAGACTAAGTCCTCAGAAACCTATACTTGTCTAAAAGGCGATTTCATTAATGGGACGTTGAATGGTTTGGTCTTGTCAAGATTCGATTATTTATAGGCCGCCGTCACATTGCTGAGGCATTTCGGTGGCGTTAAACAAATAAACTGAGGTGAAATATGAAGGAAGTTATTTTTTGAAACCTTAACACCGCACCTGGACGTTTAAAAGAGCGAACATTAAAACCATGAAAACACTTAGACCACCGAGTAGATACAAAAACGCGGATGGCCCAACGTCTGTAAACATTATTCCTCCTACAAACGGAAAGGCTAGGTTCCCTGCGGACGCAGATATCCATGAAAGGGCTACAAGTTGTGGAGACATTCCGACATAGTCAGCGGCCCATGCTATCCCCGCACCCTCATAGGGACAGGCAAACACCCCTAACAGAACAGTGCTCAACCACAACATGGACTCGTAATACGGCGCCACGACTATGAGTAGAACTGACGCCACAACTAAACCTACAAAATTACCGATGATTATTTTAGCATGTCCTAACAGTGGTGTCAATGCTGTGCTGACGATTCGACCCAGCAGAGTGGAGATCCAGAACACAGATGTCATGTACACCATTGTAGACTTTGGGAGCTGTAAATGTCCATCAACACCAAAAGCTGTCAGGTAAGTAGCAAATACTATTGTCAATGCAGTAAGAGGAAGATAAGATAAAAACAATAAGGTGTAAAATATCACAGCTTGAAATTTTCCAATGGGGGGTACATCAAATTGACTGTAATCCTGTCCCGGGCTGTCTGTTATCGCCGCAGAGGCCCAGCTTGAGTCCCTCTTCCACCAAAAGTAGAAAAATGCGAATGAACTTGGCAACAAAACAAACCCCATGGCGACATAAGCACTGCGCACATTAGTGTCACTTTCGGTACAGGACTCTGTTCCATTGTGCGCAGCTCCGTAATTAGTACGGCATTCACCTAACGCACTTAGTAACGGGCAACACACAAAAATAAGATACTGTACATCTTCCTCCGTTGTGTTATAGTCTTTATGCTGTAGGTTGCTGCAAGCCGTTTGCCAATTGCAATAATCTCCTCCCTCATCAACCTCCCTTGTCAAGTTCGATTTGCAGCTGTCAGTGGATCTATACGACAGAGACAGCAGGGCGGTACACGGACAGGAGTGATCTACACTCACATGGTCAACAAGAAAATGTCCTTGTGTTTGTTTAGAATCATTGGCTTCAAAATGTCGAGTGACATTCACACACATGTTCTCAACCAGAGCCAGATCATCCATTGAACATGAACCGTTTACAGAAGCTACTCCCGTGGGTAGAAATCTGGTAAAGTTTGTAACTTTTGACACATCATCCTGACATAAGAACGGTTCCACTATCAGAGGAGTGAGAATGGCGCCCAGGGAACTGCCGACTAGGATGAACTGAAACGCTGTACCCCTGTCCTTCCACAGCTCACTGCACACATCCATCAGAACTGTGGAAGAGATAGTTCAAGTGAGCATATCAACAGCATACACAATCACTGGAAAGGACAAGCTCATTAATACGTGCAATCTAACTATACTGTGACACCAACATAAGGAACCGAACATTTAATATTCTGGGCGATTTTCTCGAAAATTCTTGAGAAAAAATAATTATGCTTCAGTCTTGAAAAAAAGAAACAAAATGCTTGCCACAAAAATGACATTGTTGCAAGGTGTCTTTTTTTAGGTTCATGGTTTAAAAAAAGTATCTGGTGTGTGTGTGTGTGTGTGTGTGTGTGTGTGTGTGTGTGTGTGTGTGTGTGTGTGTGTGTGTGTGTGTGTGTGTGTCAAAATACAGCTTGTGTCAGATATTCAAAAGTAAACATCGTTCTTGAATAGGGGATACACGCCATTTAAGTTTGGCTCCATCTCAACTTGTCACAAATTGTAGCCACGCAAACTGTTCTGGGAACAATCGGGTTGGTGGATCGCTTATATACGGAAAAACAAAAGATTTAATGCAAAGTTATGTTTTTTACCAAATCTGAAACAATTTCGGTTTGCAAGAGATAAAAGACTCCTGTAAGTGTTCAAATGGCTTAATTTGCCATACTGACTTCAGAAAATGCGTGATTTCATAAAAAAAAACCATGAACATGCCAAAATGTCAATTTACAAATCAATAGCGTGTGGGTCCACCTCTGGTTGCGATGCAAGCAACACATCTTCGTCTCATGGAATGGACCAGGCGTCGCACAAAGTCCTGTGGGATATCTGTCCATATCTGCTGGAGCATGTTTCAAAGTTCCTGGAGTGTCTATGGAACACGTGGTTGACGTCGAAGGCGCCAATCCATCTCATCCAACATGTGCTCGATTGGTGAGAGATCAGGGGAGCGAGCCGTCTAGGGTATGACATTCACGTTGTTTTGTTGGAGAGAATCCTGAACAAGTCGAGCAACATGAGGCCGGGTGTTGTCATGTTCAAAGGTAATGCCTGGGCCATGACTACGCAAAAACGGTAGAACAATAGGGCCGATGATCTCGTCGGGGTAGCGCTGTCCATTGAGATTTCCCTCAAACTATCAAACGGGTCCTCTGTCTTGCTGTAATCCTACCCCAAACCATAACGCTGCCGCCCCCGAACCGATCTTCTTCCATGACACAATGATTGACGTAACGTTCACCTCGACGTCGGTACACTCGAATCCGTCCATCGCTGCGGCTGAGGTGAAAACGAGACTCAACAGTGAATAGAACTTGCCCCCACTGCATGGCTGTCCAGCGTAGACGCTGTCTGCACCAATGTAGACGTGCTTGACGGTGGTTTCCTGTCAAAATGGGACGTCTGGCGGGTCTTCTGGCGACAATCCCTGCACATCTGAGGCGACGACGTACGGTTTGTGAAGATATTCGTCGAAGGCCAGGGATGCTTCTTGCAGTCACTGTTGCTGGCTGGAATCGATTTCGTATGTATGTTGTTCGAATCCAGTTGTCTTGTCGATTATTGGTTACGCGTGGCCGGCCACTCATAGGATGGTCTCTGACTGCATTCGTCTGTTGCCAACGTTGCCATAAACACCAAATGGTGTTTCCGAGGACGTTAAATTGTCTTGCAACATCTCGTTGACTCGATCCTGCTTCAAGCATAGTATTACCAATGGCTCGCAGACGCTCATTTTCGGAGAGGCGTGGCATTTCGTAATGTTGAATAATTGCGTAATTTTGTTGTTTTTCTGAGTGGTTGTTGTCAGCACGATGCTTAACAATGCATATTGAATCCAGTGTAACGCACATGACTTTATACCCATTCTTGGGTTGTGAAATGCATGGGGCTTGCATAAAAGTCAACTTTTGCATGGAATGCATGCTTTTCTGTAGCAGTTGCGTTTTTGTGACTTGATTCCATACATGTACTAAAATATTGAAAACCAAACTTTACTTGTTTGAAAAATACACTAAAATATTGGTGTCACAGGAACTTTTGTTGTTGAGTATATGTGTCATTTCTGAAGAGAGGTACAGCCCCTGATGTGACAAAGGGAAACAACTCCACGCAACGACTTGTGACAACTCACATGACAGAGCCACCTGTGCTGGAGTGATTATAACGGTGCATGTATATTTTAGTACTTACAACACGAAGGTATTGCTGAAATGAATCCCACCAAGGCGAACATGACATCTACGTAGATGTAACTTGGTGCGAGAGGAATACAAGTAATCACAACTGACGCCAGCAGTAGGGAAATGCCCAGCTGAAGACGTTTCTGTCCGTATTTAGAGAGTGCCATCGCCAGGAACATCCCCAATGTCTCCCCAATGCCGCTGCTCAGGGGTATGGTGGAGAGACTTGCCAGGTCCTGCTTCAGGATCAGCTGCAGATCCAGCAGGGTGGGGCCCAGGATGGCATAATTGATGCCCTGTGTGATACGGTATGACAGAAAGTATACATTAAAGGTGTTTAAAGTTGTATCCCATTTTACGCGTGAACCAATTTTAACCCTTGAACGACTCTGACCTCCCATACACAGTTAAACTAGCAATGCTTGCTTTGACTGCACAATAACAGAACCAGTGCCATCCCCATCTTTTTCTTAATGCCCAAACAATTGGTCACCAGATATCATGTAACATTGATCCTCTTTGTTTTACCAAGTTAGTTGACAGTTGACCTCACTTATACCTACTTATGATGATCTTTGTTCCCTAATCTTGTTTAATGCAGTCCTGCATGTATGTCTCTAGGTATACACTTCCGGATTAATAACATCCCTTAAATATATTTTTTGTTACATCCGTCAGTACGATCAGTTATATAGATTGTCAGTTTTTAGTAATAAAATAGTTCGTATGCCTCAACTTAGAACAAGATTATAAGCACATCCGGGGCATTGATATTGTAATAGTCAGGCTCGGTCGAAAACGATCAAGACCTTCGGTTTTCGTCCACGTTCCCGCGATCGTTTGAAGTTTTAATAGTTATTAAATATATGATTTTTTATTATTACATACACGTCTGGTGTGTAAAAACTATGTATATTGTACGTATAAGATCAATTAAATGTTTCATAGTAATATTTAACAGTTATAGTTAGCTCCAGTGATCGGCTCAAATAGTCCCGCGACCTACTGGTGCTTACGTCATCAAAAGTTGGGTAGTTCGTTCCGAAATTGTTTCATGCTCCACTAAAGTAAATATATTTATTCCAAAATACTTACGTAAATACCTTCCTAGACATGTTATTGAGTAGATTACATCCATTCTAGTTAATGTCACGTCGTATATTTGGTGTTAAATCGCATTCTTCTCGCTCTAACTTTTGGCGTCTTCTGCTACATGTATTTCAGGAAGTGACGTAACCACGAATATAATCTCGGTCAAAATCAGTTGCGGAAATAACAGACTCAACGTAAGTTTTTAGTTTTTGGCCCAGCGAGTTTTTAGAAATTTTATAATGATTCGATAGACTAGTTTACAGTTTTTTTAATAACAATTAACGTGCAGCATTATTGGCTCTGCCTTTGCGCATAGTAATTATTCTTTTTCAAGTAGATTAAATAGAATTTGTAGAAATTAATTATCTAGAATCTAACTGTCAAAACTGACAAGCGTTAAAAATAGAGTACGACTTGCAGTTAGTTCATGTATATATTAAAATTGTAACTGTCATTACTAATAACAACAACCTGCCAGCACAGGACAGTAACATCACTTTTATGTGTAAAACTAGTATGTAACCACATGTGGGTGTGGGTGGCTGTAGGGTAAACAATATATGTTACACAACACTGACGGGTCAAATACTTACGACAACGAAAAAGGCCCAAGCCATCCAAACGGTTTCACAAATCTTCGAAAAGACGGTGACAGACATCTTCTGCCAGAGGTCTGTAAGTTTTTGCCACATGATTATGGTACGATGCTCAGGCATCCAAACCTACGTGCCACTGCATAATCTGTGAACTGCGAGACACATTTCGAAGCCCTAGCATCTGGAGCTGTAGGCGACATCTGTCACTGACAGATTCAAATTACAAATTGGTTGTATGAACTGACAGTACTTTACTTATCATGCTAATATGCTGTAATTACTTAAATGCAATCAATGTCACATCTTGTGATAGAGTCGCATTCTGTGTCTGAAGGTCAGAAAATGAACCTCGTCTTCTTTTATCCGTATTGTCTTTGTCAAAACCGGGACATTGCTTATGGACATATTGTTTAGATCGGGGTATCACGTGGTTCCACGGAGCCGGCACGCTAGTGAGCTGTGCGCAAACTACGATTTGCTGTTTAACGCCCAACCCGGGAATATTCGAGCTATGTGACGGCGGTCTGTAAACACTCTCGACTCTGGATCAGACAATCCAGTGACTGGCATCATGAGCACCAATCTACGCAATTGGTTGGTTGGTTTGTTGTTTAACGCCGCACTCAGCAATATTCCAGCTATATGACGACGGTCTGTAAATAATCGAGTCTGGACCTGAAAAATCCAGTGATTAATATCACACTTCTCAAACCATTTCCCTCTAAGAAAGCATTTAAACAACGAATTTACTGTAACGTTTTCTGTCGTAACCCTTAAATTCGGTTCTTAGTATTCACTAAGCACAACTTTCTGGTCCAGACTCGATTATTTACAGACCGCCATCATGCAGCTATAGTATTGTTGAGTGCGGAGTTCAACAACAAACAAACAAATTTAAGTCAGTGCAGACAAAAGATATTGTGAAGATCATATTTCCGAATCAGGTAATTTGTGTAAGTTTTGTGTATATATAATCCATTTAACATACACGATAGGTTGCAGGAACCATCGATTATCCAGCGAATCATGTCTCCATTCCATTATGATAAATATTATATATACGCTCGATACTATTTTGGATATATTTGATAATCGACGATGCAGAAATATTATTAATTTATGGTTATTATTTTAACATACAGGCACGGAATAAATTATATCCGTATGCTTATCAGCTTGGCCGTGTGTACCGGCGCAATAACGTGAGTCATGCCTCAAATAAGTTGACGTTGTCACAAATGTTCACAGTTAACACTTGAAATCATGAATATGTAGCTATATAAAATAATTATGTGTACATGGTTACAGATGTTTATCGTAAATAAAGCTTGAAAAGGTTGAATGAATAAATATACCGTCATGAACTCGGAATTGTATTAGTGGCGGTCGGGTAGCCCAATGGTTAAAGCGTTCGCTCGTCACGCCGCAATGCCATTAAAATCAGGTCTTAGTTTTCGCTACCGCTGAACAAAGATCTGAGGACATCCCATTACGGGTCACGTCAGACCGACCTTGCGCGAACTTTGACCGACCAATGGAATGACAAATCAGAAGCAGCTTTCTCGTGCTTTACGGCACTAATTTCAAATTGGCGACTACGCTTCGAAACATATTTTGACAAATTCTCGATTACAAATTTGAAACCTGAACAAAAGAGCATTCTGGAATGGCTAATAGATGGTCTAGATTGTATGGATTCAGTCGTTAAACCCGTAACTATCGTTCGGAGTACATTTTTCGAGGTTGCATGATTAGAAGTTACATTCTGACTGTCACTTTCATAATCTGGTAAGCGATGCTCTGATTAGTCGGATGAAAGGCCGTTTTGACGTGACCCTTAATGGGATGTCCTCATATCTTTGTTCAGCGGTAGCGAGAACTGAGGTCTGATTTTAATGAGATTGGTCACGCCGAAGAACCGGTTTCGATTCCCGACATGGGTACAATGTGTGAAGTCCATTTCTGGTGTCCCCCGCCGTGATATTGCTGGAATACTGCTAAGCGGCGTCAAACCATACTCACTCACTCACTCACTCACTCGGAATTGTATTAACATCAATTTACATATTCATCGCAGTTGAAACATTATTGCACGTCGCTATATAAGTGCTATAATCTTGGACGCGACGTTAAATTCCATTTCACCTCACCTGCAATACTATTTATTCCTAATTAGCATTACTAGTGTTCCGAGACCACTGTTATGCATTTCTGACATACTAGAGAGCTATCTGTATGGACGTAATCACGTTCGTTCATGAGTATTTTGGGTGGTTTCCCTGTGAATATTGACTGATTTTGTTCAATAAGTTTACGTATCCGAATCGTGCAAATCAGTCAATGATTGGGAAAAGTAACTTTCATCAGTGACTAGAGTTCAATGCCACTTCAGCATAGTGCAAATAAATTGTGAAATAGCTTTCGTGATTTTATCATTGTATCAAAATTAAAACGAATTGTTACGGAGCTTCAGTTTACTTGAAATGCGCAAATAAATTACTTCGATTTTAAAAATAATGAACGCAGTAAAAATTCAATATCATACGTATGATAGTCTGTGAAGTAATTATTGTTGATTTATTTATTCATAACGATTGATTGCAATATTTTTGCGGATTTACGTTTGTAAATACCTCCATAAACGCAAGAAATATTGAACTCAATTCTTTACAAATCTATGTTCTGACATAGGAATATTGTAGAAAGCTATAAAGTTCCATGGATTCATAGTTGCCCCATTATTCTTTGGGGTTTTTTGGTACAAGAGTTTAATATTGTATTTGTACAAATTATGCACGTTGGAACCAGTGGCAACTTCTACCATACCATCACTGTCGCTATTATAGTATGCGTCGTAAAAGATGCAAAGCGACGTCGTCGTAAGAAACGTAATTATTACTTATTATGTTCCAGCAGTGGTTTGATTTAAATACCATCCACATCTGACCGCAGGGTAGAAACTTCAACACCTCTACGTCTACTTTGTGTGACATTTTCAAAAGGAATGCCGTCACCATTACAGTGATGTCACTCGGCTACATTGGTATACATCTTGAGACAAAACCATCCAAATTCTACCATTTTGTTGGAGACACGTACGTCAATAAAATGTAGTTAGAAATAGATAAATAGCTTTTCTATTCAATTTTGATGTTTTTCCACAAACGTTTCATCATTTTAAACGTTATCTTTCAATAAATATATTGCCATAAAACATAACAAATTCATATCTTTCAAGCAGGGTTACGTCATTATCTGACGAGTTCTGCCCACTTTTGTGTCAATGTTGGCACATCTTACCTCTTCTAAAGGTAGCCCCCTTTATGACGTCAGAGAGGAAAGTAAGGAATGTTTTCATTGCATTTAGATATGAATGTGTAAACTATGGTTTTATGCCGTTTTTACCAATATTTCAGCAATATCATGGCGGAGGACACCAGAAATGGGCTTCACGCTTTGTAACCATGTGGGCCTCGAACCCGTGTCTTCGGAGTGACGAGCGAACGCTTTAACTGCTAGGATACCCACCGCCAAAATGCATTTTGGAATACATTTCGATGTCGTGTATATATTATAGTAGAAGGGTAGCGACCACTGAAAAATTACACAACATATGGTACGTGCTTCCGATAATCAACATTTACGTGACCTGATTCAACTGAGATTACAACATTAATGGCAGCCAGGGTTGACGAGGTTCAAGCCGAGGCAACAAGTGTTCATTAAGGATAACTTAGGACAGTACCCGGAATAAAACTTCAACCTAAGATATTATCATGGCTGCCAGGAGACGGAGAAACACAACGACCGTATGCTACAACACGCACTTGTGAGACGTTCACAACTATTTCATTACTTGATGACGCTGCCATTCTACATACACTCTTCAAAAAAAAGAAACGCACAGGTAGTATGTAGTTCATTGAACCTGACTGCACAAAAAATCCGGTATATTAATTGGATATATGTTATTTGAAAATGTTGGTGGCCTGATATTCGACAAACGGTGCGTCAAAATGCAGCCGTTGTCGATTTGCAATGTCTTAAACGGCATTGTTATGTCATTCGTAACTCGTGGTAGTGGCCATAAAAAGGCATTCATAAGCCAATATTTTGTCATTCAATTGTCAACATGTTTCAAGTTCGAAAATGCCGAGACTCAGGGGCGGCCACACGAAATACTGAGTTCAGCGCAACCTTGTGGCCTTATGTTACATGACAATGATACGTTTTCAATGCCTTTGTACAACGACAACATGTGGCGATCTAGTTCAAAATTTTCATATTTGTATCTATGATATTAAATGATATATATCGACTTTATAAGGTGCAATAAATTTACTAAAAGTCTACCTGTGCGTTCCTTTTTAAGAGTGTATTCTATATGATACATGCAAAACAGAAATTATTAATTCTAAAGTATTTATATCAACGATCGAATGTAAAATTTCCCCGATGCATATCAGGATACATAATATTCATATATATTTTTTACCTAGTAGTAAATTATATTCAATAAATTAGTTTATTAATTTTTAATTCATGTATTTAAATTTAACAATGACGTCAGTTGGAGTTCAGTGGTAATGGGCATCTGTGTTCAACCGAAGTATACGTAAATGCGCTGACAACCAGACATTAATCCACCATGGTTAACAAGGGTTGTGCCTTGGCCAAGACGGGTTCGGCTCGTGAAGATCCGGGGTAGAAAAGGTCTTAAGCAACTCATGCTTGTCGTAAAAGGCGACTATGCTTGTCGTAAGAGGCGACTAACGGGATCGGGTGGTCAGGCTCGCTGACTTGGTCGATGCATCTCATTGATCCCAATTGTGTGGTTCCAGTGAAGATTCCGGGGTAGAATAGGTCTTCAGCAACCCATGCTTGCCGTAAAAGGTGACCATGCTTGTCGTAAAAGGCGACTAACGGGATCGGGTGGTCAGGCTCGCTGATTTGGTTGATGCATGTCATCGATCCCAATTGCGTGGATCGATGTTCATGATATTAATCACTGGGTTGTCTGGTCCAGACTCGATTATTTACAAACCGCCTTCATATAGCTGGAATATTGCTGAGTGCGGCGTTAAACAACAAACCAACCAACAAACCAACCAATTGCGTGGATCAATGCTCATGTTGTCAATCACTGGATTGTCTGGTCCAGACTCGATTACTTACAGACCGCCGT